ATCTTTACCCATTTCCTGCACCCCCCACTCTCCACCTCTGGCAGCCACCAATCTGTCCTCTGTCCTATCGAGTATGGTTCTTTAGATTCCACCTGTGAGGTCATTCAGTACTTGTCTTTCTCTGCCTGACTTATTTCACTTAGCGTAATACCCTTCACATGCATTTTCTCCTGTTTATGGCTGAATAATATGCCAATATGTGTGTGTCATGCTTTCTTCAGCCAGTCACCCGTTGACGGACACTAAGGTAGTTTCCATGTCTCGGCTGCTGTAAATAGTGCTGCACTGTACGTGGAGCTGCAGCTATCTCTTTAAGATCGTGATTTTATTTCCTTTGGGTAAGTACCCAGAAGTGGGATTGCTGGATCATATGATAGTTGTATGTAAATTTTTTTAAATGCGCCAATTTACATTCTCACCAGCAGTGTGTAAGGATTCCCATTTCTCCACATCCTCACTAGCGTTTGTGATCTCATCTTCCACGACAGCCATCCTAACTGTTGAGGTGACATCTCCTTGTGGTTTTGATTTGCATTTTTGATGGTTAGTGATGTTGAGCACCTTTTCACGTACCTGTTGGCCATCTGTATGTCTTCCTTGAGAACACTTCTCAGTTTTGATGTCCCCAGGCAGTGCCAAAGTTCCCCTGGGGGCATAATTGCCCCTGATTGAGAACTGCTGGTCTAGAAGTTTCCTTCATGCTCCTTTTCCAGACAGTGTCCCCATCCCCAGGACATTACGGACTTCCATCCCCATCCATTAGTCTTGCCTGTTCCTGAACATATTTTGAAGGGAAACATACCCTGTCTCTCTGCACAGTCTCATGTGAGTTATAGAACTTCATTGTGCCTCAGTTTCTTTCTCTGTGAAATGGGTGGATGAATGCACCACCTCGTAGAACCAAAGGAGCCACTAAGGATCACAGCTTCTCTCGAGCTTCCTCTACCTCCACCTTTTGTGTGATATTTTCACGGGAGGCTCCCCCTTGCCTTCAAAACCCACTCCTGCTGCTGCTGGTCCTGAGACTTCACTGGGTTTCTCCATCCGCTTCTCTGACTGTGCCTCTGCCACTAGCTTTTCTCTCTTTCTGCCCAGGCAGTACCCTCAGCCGTCTTGTCTTGCGCAGCCAGCCAGCCCAGCCTTGACCTTTCCCCTCTGCCCCCAGCAATGCCATCCGAAGGCAAGGCTGGCTCAGGCCCCGGTCGTTCTGGGTACAGCGGAAGCCAGAGGAGGCTTTGCTCCTTCTCTCATCCTTTTCTTTCCACGCACGCACGGAAGGGCAGGCAGCCCTCTGAGAGCATCCACAGACCTGCCTCATCTTCCCCAGGTCCCCAGGGGTCCAGCTGACATAGCCAAGCATCATCAGGGGCAGAGAGGGGAATGTGGATCCCACCCCATCCTTGTCACATGTGCAAGGACCGCCAAGCTGCGGGGAGGACAGAACAGAGAGAGGCAAAGGTATTTATAGTGAATTTGACTGAAGTTAAATAAATAAATACATAAATCATGGTATTATCGTAAATAATTAAGATTATTTATAGTGGGGAGTACTCAGATCACAGACCAGTGTTATCGAGTAGAAAGAGAACCCCAAAACCCAAGGCACATATAGACTTTGCAGTCACCACATTAGAAGAATAAAAAGACACTGGAGCAGTTCATTTTTTTAATGTTTAGTTTTTCACTTTTTCTGTGCTTTATTTATTTTTTTATTTACATATAGTCAGTTTACAATGTTGTGTTAATTTCTGGTGTACAGCACAGTGATTCAGTTTTATGTATATATAAATATATATTCCTTTTCATATTCTTTTTTTGTTATAGGCTATTACAAGGTATTGAATATAATTCCCTGTGCTCTACAGTATAAACTTGTTTATCTATTGTATGTATAGTAGTTACTATCTGCAAATCCCAAACTCCCAATTTATACCTTTACCCCTCTTCCCCTCTGGTAATTGTAAGTTTGTTTTCTATGTCTGAGAGTCTGTTTTTGTTTTGTAAATAAGTTCATTTGCATAATTTTTTTAGATTCTACATATAAGTGGTATCATACGATATTTCTCTGACTTCTATCACTTAATATGACAATCTCCAGGTCCATCCTTGTTGCTGCAAATGGCATTATTTTGCTCTTTTTTATGGCTGAGTAGTATTCCATTGTGCATAAAAACCACAGCTTCTTTATCATCTGTCAATGGGCATTTAGGTTGCTTCCAGGTCTTGGCTGCTGTGAACAGTGCTGGAGCAGTTCATTGTAATCATCTGTTGTATTCAGCCACTATCGCCAAACAGTCATCATTTCAATAAGGAACCAGTATAAAATGACTAAAGAAACATTTTACATTATTTTCTTACATGATGTCTTCTAAATCTGGTGTGTATTTTAAGCTTCACAGAGCATCTCATTTCGGACGCTAGATTTTTAATCTGAACTCCTTGATCTGTATTTAGATTTCATAAAACTCCAGTCAAAAACGTGCCTTCCCATGCCCAAGCCATTCCAAGCCTACTCAAAACAATGTTTTAATAATTGAACTGAGGATTGTTTTTTTTTAAAACTCAGATTAAGTGAAATGAAAAAATTCAGTTCCTCGGTCACACTAGCCACATTTCAAGGGCTCAGTAGCCACATGAGGCTCGTGGCGGATGGTCCTGTGGGAAACAGAACATGAACATCATCACAGAAAGTTCCACTGGACAACAGTGCGGCTTTACATCAGGGATTTCTTATCAGTGTCACTGTTGACACTGGGGGCTAGATAATTCATTGTCAAGTGGCGCTGTCCTTTGAACTGTAAAATATTTACCAACATTCTTGCCCTCTGTTCACTAGATGCCGATAGCAGCCCCCTCCCTTTCCCTCATGATAACTGAAAATGACTAGACATTGCCAAATGTCCCCCAGGGGAAGAAAAATAACAGTTAGGTTAGAAGTACTGATCTCCATCAAAACCGAGTTCAAAGCCTAGCTCTGCTCTGTGCTAGCTGAGTGACTTTGGACAGATCCCTAAGCCTTGGCATTCTCATCTGTGCAATGGGGCAGTGAGTAGCACGCCGCCACTCTGTGGCTGTGAGGGTTGCTGTGAGGGTAAAACCTAGCTGCGGTGATGCGGCGATGACCAGAAGCCATGTCCCTATGTGGTCAATAAACAGCAGCTGTGATTAGTCGTCATAAACCTAAACCCATTAACCCCTGGGCGCCCCTCGTAAGAGCAGGGCAGCTCCTGGACCCTGAGACCTCACACACTGATGGCGCTTGTCATGTCCTCGAGAGACGGGATTTGAATCACTTAAACAGGCAGAGTTTGGAGAGCCCAGGGGCCTGGGGTCTGGTCCCACCTCTGTCAATGATCTTGCGGGTCCTAGTGCTGTTCTGGTACCCAGTTTTCCTCTCTGTGAGGTGGGGGGAGCTGAACACCATGATCTGCCACTGGACCCACTGGCTGGACCTTCGTTTCTCTGTGATCATTTTCTTAAGGAAGAGAGAGGGTACCTGGTAGACAATGAAGGGAGGGGGTGTGGACAAAGGCCACACTCCACTTCCCCCTTCCTCTGCCTCCAGGCTTGGCTGACGCTGTGTCTTTTTCCTGGAATGCTGTCTTTCCTCTCCCCACCTCCTCTGGCCCAGCTGGCTCTATCTCATCCTTCAGGACTTAGGGATGTGGCACCTCCTCCAGGAAGCCTTCCCTGATTCCCGGCCCCCTCCCAGTCTGGGACTGTGTCTCCCACCGACTTGAATGTTTCTGCCACGCCAGCTTGATCATCTCCATCTTGGCCAGGCTGCATGCCCAATGTGTAGTTGGGGCTCAGTGTGTGTCTATGCTGAGAGTGTGAACGGGGTGCAAGCAGGAAGAAGAGTAGGTTAGCAGGAAATTGCATTGAGCAAGGGAGGACCTGGGGTTTCCGATAAGCCTGCCTTGGCTACAGGTCCGTGGAGTTTGGCTCTGGGTACCAGAGGCAGGGGAGATGTGAGGTTCCATGGGGTGGCCACTGCCTGCCACTATCACACCGGGCACCTACATGTGCCGCCCCATGGATGAGGAGATAATCCCACCTGTCTGCTATTAGAGGTTTGAGGGGTGAGATGAGGGAGGATGAGGGTCTCCTGAGTGCCTAGACAAGGGGGAGCATGGGGGGCGCTGAGGATCATGTACCTAAGGAGGCTCACCTGGCCTTCCGTGCTGGACAGATGGTGGGGCAGCGGCAGTTTCTGGGGGAGCTGTTTTAAGAGCCCAGGCCTGGGGTGATAAGAACCGAATGGAGGCTGAGTGTTGTCAAGGAAGAGGCAGAGGCCCAGATCCCCTCCCTGCACACTGTGCTCCTCTCCGCCCCTGCAGGGGCAGCTGGAGGGCTTGGCTGGGGAGTGAGGACTGCAGCCCCCGTGCTGGCTGCACGGGGTAGAGCAGGGGACCGGGCTGGCATGGAGTGGGCTCTGAGGGGCTCCCCACAAATACAAGCCGGGCCCTCATCTCCCCTGGCAGCCAGGGAGTTCCCACGTGGGAATGCAGCCTCCCTTCCCCTCCCGCACATTCCAGAACCCTCCGAGCCAGCCGTGCCTCCCCCAGGGAGGGTCCACCAGGCTGGGTCTGGTGGTGCCAGCCCCTGAGCAGGAAGCTGTCAGGCAGAACCCAGGGGACCTGAAGGAACAGGACAGATCTGTGCCCAGGCCCCTGTCTGCATTTAGCCCAGCCGGACCCATGGGGGTCTCTTGGTTTGACATCAGGCTTCTTGGGAGCCAGGCTCCGTCTGATGGGTGGGGGTCCCCCTGTGTCCCTCTTCACATCAGCCTGCAGGCGTTAGTCACGACCAGGACACTGAATGATGCCAGCTGAACTCTGCCAGCAGCAGTGCCGCTGCTTCCCCCTCAGGCGGGCCCTGCCCCTCTTGGGAAGCTCAGCAAGGCGTGTCCTCACCACCTCCCAGGATCCTGGCCGGACTGGGCTGGGTTCAGTCGCTGGGACTCGTTCAGGGCGTGAAGAGCACTGCCCAGGCGGGTGGGCAGGAGCATGGGCAGGGAAGGCCCCGCACAGCCGGGGCGCCATCGGCGAGACCGCCTGGTGGCTCTGACCGTGACCCTCCTCCTCACCTGTGGGCCAGGTAAGCGGGGGCTGGGCTGGGACCAGCGGAGGAGTCGGACAGATTCCTGGAGGAGAGGGGTAGGTAGGACAGGCGCCTCAGGCTTCCCGAGCCCTGCCACGGGGACAGCGGGGAGGGTTTTGCTTTTGGGCAGAGGCCTCCACCACAGCCAGCCAGGTGAGGCTGCGTTTTCCAGATGGACTGGGGACAGTTCACAAAACCGCTGCATCATGAATTAAATATCGTGGGATCAGAGATGCCCGGGCATTCCTTCCTTCTTTCACTGGCTCACTCACACATTCATTCCCTAGGTGGTTTTGTTTTGTTTTGTTTTGTTTTATTGACACCTCTGATCCCAGTACCTGTGCTCTGCTCTCAGGTGGGAAATGAGCAAGTCCCAGCCCCGGGCTTCCAGGAGCTCCAGGCTGGTGGGCGAGGCAGAGGGTTGGCCGGTCTCTTGGTACAGGGCCGAGTAGAAGTTTTGCCACCTTAGGGCGTGGAGAAGGGGGAAGTTTGCCTAAACCACAGGATGGTGTTGGGTTGGCAGGATCTCTACATGCATGATCAGTGGAAGAGGGGAAGGGGCACTGCTGGCAGGGAGAACCGCGTGGGCAGAGGCCGGGAGGCAGGCAGGTGCCGGGTGGGTTTGGGTCGTTCAGTGTGATGTGAGCGCGTCTGCGCTGCCTGGTGGGGGATGCCGAGGGGAAGGGCGGGAGCAGAAAGGCGGCCTGTGATGGTCAGGGGAGGTGTGTTCTGGATCCCCAGAGTCCCCAGGGGGACTCTGCAGACCTGTTGGTCATTTGGGGGTCAGCTAGAGCCTTGCTAACCAGAGAATGCCCACCGGCCTCAGGGAAAGGTGCGAGTCCAGCGTGGTGCCGGGGGAAGGGATGAGGCCCTCTCCGCTGCAGAGGGGGGTCCAAGGTCCTCCACGTGTGGCTCCGGGGCTGCCCAGAACCCTGAACTCTTTTACTCCAGCTGCCTCCTTGGGCAGCAAGTCAGGCCTTTCTGGGCAAACCTCTCTGGTTTCCAAGGTAACCTAAGGTTTGTAGAACAGATGTCAGCTATGTGCCAGGTACTTAAGTATCTGTTCATTTACTCATCCCAGGAGAAAGCACTGTCCTCAATGCTTGGCTGGGAAACGGAGGCCATCAGGGCCTGAAGGGGAGGGGTTGGGATGGGGGGGTCCCTCTTCCCTGTCCAGAGAGGGCTTCCGGCCTTGGACACTGGCAGCCTGGGGGTCACCTGTGGTGTGTGGGCCGCCTCCTTGCCCCTCCCCAGACTCAGGCCTCTCTGCAGCTCTTGGAGCAGGTGGAGAGGGTGCCCCAGCCCTGAGTCATCCAGACCTGCTCCGGCCCCAGAAGAGCTTTGCGGTTGGACACCATTGTGAGGCGTTCACACAATGGCCTGGATGGTGGGCGGGTTTGCACAGGACAGTTCCACCACCTCCGATGGGGCGTGTCCCCTGGAACTGTCCCCAGCGCATGTCACCACAAACAGAAACTGCTTAACTGCTTTTGACCCCAAGACCCATTCAGAGTCTGATGCTGAGGGCTGTTCGAACTGGGCAGACTTCTGCTCCTGTCCCAGGGAGGGCTGGCTGCCTGGACTAAGGCTAGACACCGCTCCGTGCTTCCCCATCACTTCCACGGTACAGGGGACACCAGGCACGGCAGGGATCCCCTGGAATATCAATTCAGATACCCCTGTTGTTTCCAAGATGTGTAGTTTCCTGCCATTTGGCCCATGCACACCTTTGCCTGCCCATATCTAGCTACCTGCCTGCTCTGACACAGTCCCTGGGTCTGAGTAGATATGCAGTAAATATTTGTTGCATGAATAAAAGAGGCCAAAAAACCCCAAAAAACAAAAAACAAAAAAACCAAACCTCACTTGGTGAGAACTACTGGTCTACCACCTCATTCCCCAAAGTCGTGACAGATGCCCTGACAGCCTTAGAGGATGCTAGTTTCTGTGCAAAGCAAAACCCAAGCTCAAGCTGCCAGCACTGGCCTGAAGACAAGCAGAACATCTTTTCTGACAGCTGCAGCCTCCTTCTGAGAGCCCCAGGACAAACCCAGCCCTCAGCTCCCCTGAGACTCCTCTGGAAGCACCCAGCGTTGCCACCTCTTCCTCTCCAACCCCTCCCTCCCTACAGGGCCCTCGGGGGGAGCCCCTGGGTCTGGCCACTAGATACTCAGAGGCACCCCCTCTTGAGCCAGGGCTCTGTCCCCAATTCTGTCATGGGTTCAGCTTCTCTGTTTGGGGACACCCTTGGGGACAATGTCCAGCCTATTTTTTGAGTCCCTGTCTTCTTCACAGCTGTGTCTCTGAGAACATGGCTTCTGGGGCATGAACCTTGAAGGATGCTCCGGAGACAACAAACTGTCTCTTAGAAACACGAGTGCCAGCAGCGACCATGCCCGAACCTACATCCCAGATAGCTCACAGCCCGCCCCGCCCCCATGCTGGGGAGACCCAGCTGGGTGAGGGGTAAGCCCTGGGCTCCGCCGCCTCCCAGCATCACTCAGTTTACAAGGAATGAGCCTCTGCCCTCTGCCTTGTGCTGGGCGGTGTGGGCGGGCAGCTTTCCCCTGGGCGCGTGAGCAGAAATTCTGAATTCTGGCTGCATTCCTGTTTCAGGATCTCTTCTGGGCTGTCTGAGACTCCCTACTTCCTAGATTGATTACCCTTGTCTTCACAGGCAGTTTCATTTTTGCTTGTATTTCTTTTTTGTTCGATCTTCATCATCTTGTCAAACCTATTATTATAGTTAAGGAGCAGTGTAGCCGTAGGGTCCTGCTAGCCACCATCTTTCAGGGTATCAAGAACAAACTCCTGCAAGATCCCCAGGGGTCTGGGGGCTCTTGCCCCCAACTGCCACCCCAAGGGAAGCCTTATGTGTCTGGTTGCACCCTGCTACTTATGAGCAAGGGTGGGTCCTCAGCTCAAGGGGTGGGAGAGCCTGCAGTTTGCCTGCAGGGGAGGGAGGACCAGGCCTGTGGCATCTGGGACCTGGCAGGGTGGATGGAACCAAACAAAGAGGTATTCCTGGCAACACTGGAGTGAGATAGGGAGACACCTGTCCCCCTTGTCTCAGTTTATCCGGGCTGCTGTAACAAAAATACTGTGGACTGCGTGGCTTATCCTCACATGGCAGAAGGGACGAGAGAGCTCTGTCTGTGTCTCTCATCAGTTTGGACTCATGGATTTTTAAGTTTTCAGTGTGTTACAGTCAATTACTGTTGTGACTCTCTTGATGCTCAAAGTGTCCCCAGTTGGCCTTTGAGGCTCCCTCACGCTGGCTTCTGTGCCCTTCCATTCATCGAGTGCCTGCTATTTTCTGCACACATTCTTTGTCCTTTCGTTCATTGATGGGCACTTAGGTTGTTTCCACATCTTGGCTATTGTAAATAATGCTGCGATGAGCATAGGGGAGCAGAGATCTTTTCAAATTAGTCTTTTTGTATTCTTGGGATAAATGCCCAGAAATGAAATAGCTGGGTCATATGGTGGTTCTATTCTTAATTTTTTTTATTCTTAATTTTTTGAGGAATTGTCGTACTGTTTTTCATAGTGACTGCACCACTTTACATTCCCACCAACAGTGTTGGAGGGTTCAGTGCAGTCCCTACCAAAATTCCAATGACATTTTTTTCACAGAAATAGATCAAAAAAGTCCTAAAATTTACATGGAACCCTGTATAATCAAAGCAATCTTGAGAAAAAGGAACAAAGCCAGAGATATCACAATCACTGATTTCAAACTTTATTACAAAGCTATCATAATCAGAATAGCATGGTATTGGCAGAAAAACAGACTTAAGGACCAATGAACAGAACTGAGTGCCTAGAAATAAACCCACACATTCATGAACAATTAATTTAAAACAAAGGAGCAAAGAACATAAAATAGAGAAAGGATAGTCTCTTCAATAGATGGTGATGGGAAAACTGGACAGCCACACAAAAATTAAAAACTAGATCCGTGTAATTTTGTAATGAACTTTGTAGAAGAAAACAAATGAGCAGTGATGTTTACTGTCCTTCTCAGACTTTCCTGAAAACTCCTAATGTTCTAAAATGAGCTGGTATTAACTTTGTCTTCAGCAAAGAGAAAAAAAGGCATCGTTAAGATGCCAATAATGTATGCTCATCGTAGAATACTTAGAAAACTCAGTAGAGACAGAAGAATGAATAGAATAACTAAAGCTGAACCGTAAATGATGACTAGGTGTTGATCTGTGAAAAGGGCATTGTGATGATTGCAGAGAGAAGGGAAAGCTGAGTGAAGAATTAGGAAGTTTGGCTGGGGAAGTGTAACAATGTCACCGTGGCTTTAAAAAGACAAGTGGATGGATGTCGTAGGTAAGACTGGAGCAAGGATGCTCGGCCTCAGCACTGACACGGGGCCAGGTAATTCTTTGCATTATAGGGCAGTTGGCATCCCTGCTTCTGACCACTAGAAGGAAGTAGAGTGCCACTAGCTGTGACAACGGAACATGCGTAGTTGATACATACTCTCTGGAGTGAACAGTCATACCTGGTTGAGAACCTCCAGGTTAGAGAGACAAGGAGATGGATCATTAAGGGCAATGATACACTAACGAACTCTGTCCTATAGGCAGTGAGGATCCATTGAAAGATCTGATGGAGGGAACTTTCAGTTTAGGGAATTTTCTGTGCTTCCAACACCCTCCTGTTTCTCTTGCCCAAATTTATGGATTCTCTTTTTAAATATAAATTTTAATCTTATTACATAATCTTACATCCTTTTGGGGGTAGGTAATTAGGTTTATTTATTTTTAATGGAGGTACTGGGGATTGAACCCAAGACCATGCATGCTAAGCACAGGCTCTACCACTATATACCCTCCCCCCAAAATTTATGTATTCTTGATCAAAGGAGTTGCCCCACCTCCCCCAAACTCCTATACTCCTACAGACACGGCTTCATCCAGCAGACACCCAGAGATGTCCCCACTACATCTCGCATCACACACACACACACACACACACACACACAATTGCAGGAGCCCCGTAGGCCAGCAGCAGCCAACCCCCCTCAGAGGACCGTTTTTAGACTTTTAGACCAAAGAGCAAATGATGACCCATCCCTACTTGAACCCGCAGGCCCCACTGTGACAGCGGTGACCACCCCGCCCATAACACTGGGCAGCACCACTGAAACCACACTGAAGAATTCCACATACACGGGAGCCAGAGACTCAGCCGGCATCAGCACCACCAGTACTTCGACGTCTGAAGAACGGGGGATTCCTGCCAACTTCAGTGTCACCGGGGTTTCAGGAGTGAAAACCACACCTCCATCTACCACCTCTGTCCCAGACAAGACCAGCGTCCACCCACCCACGACTGCAGAGGTGACTGTGGAAAGTCTGCCTGCGTCTACGGCTCTGTCTGAGCCCGGGACCCCTAGCAGGGAGGACAGCTGGGCTACCACCTCTGCCCCCTCCCCAGTTGCCAGCACCGCTGACAGCGAACACACAAGTGCAGCTTGGGTCTCCAGAGCACGCCCAGGGGTGGCGCTCACAGTGCCCCCTACCACGTCTGAAATGCACAGCCCCAGCACATCCCTACCTGAGAGCTCTGACTTCTCCCAGACGTCTACTTCCAGTGCCCAAGCCAAAGCATCCTGGACCAGTGCAGGCACAAGTCAACACTTAACAGGACCCCAGCTCTCCAGGAGGACAGACACAAGTCCTGGAGTGGAATCATCGTCCAATGAGGCAAGTCCTGTCACCACGGTCCCTGCTACCTGGGTGGTACCTGACTCCACCGCCCCAAGCACAAGCTTCACTGAAATAACATCCCCCAGAGAAACGCCTTCAGCCCCACCCACCCTAGAGGCCACATATGGTCCAATCACTGGTGAGTTTACTCCCTCTACTGAAATCTTAGTTTCAGGCAGCAGCAGCGAGGGGATCAGCCAGGATACAACAGACCTAAGTGTCACAGCCTCAGAGTCACCTGAAACAGCCACAGATGTGACCCTGGACATCACCGGTGCTCCAGAGTCCTTGTCTACAGAGGTGATCACATGGGCTGCTGGCTCAAGTGCTCCGGGAGGGACAGACTCATCCTCCAGCAAGGGTTCTACTGAAATATCTGAGACATCAACTACAGGGACTGCAGATTCCTGGGAGGGAACCAGGTGGGATGTGACTCCATCACTCCCTGGGTATCACTTTTCTCCTGACACGAGCCCTGCAGGAGACATCACGATACGCACCAGCGGTCCTCCGTTGCTGTCCGCCTCAGTTCCTGATGATACAGAGTCATGGTTCAGCACGTCTTCAGACCATCCCGTCACCTCCTCCTTGGACACAAGGATCCCTGGGACCATGGCAAAAACAGAGCCCAGCTCAACTTTTGCTCTTTCCAGAACACTAAATGATGCAGAAACCAGCACTCAAAGAGTCAGAAGTACAGCTTCTCCTCTGGTCCACTCATCTCCACCAGTGGAAGGTACAGGTAGGAACGTTCTCATGCCAAGCACCTGCCCTGCTACGACAGACTCACCCAGCGTCCCTGCAGCCAGTAGCTTAGCTCTGATAGAGTCAGCTGGTCCTGACACCTTCAGCTTTGTCAGCGTTCCTGAAATGAAATCTAGATTTCCTCTATTTACCCCCTCCTCCTCAGTAGAGACCAACCTTCGCCTATTTATTACTGGAGAGGAAACAAAAGAATCTTTGAATCCATCTGTGTCTCAACTTGAGAACTCTGCTTGCAGAGTAATGACCACCTGGGCCATCCCCTCTGCCCCCACCCACCGCTTCCCCTCCGTGGACACCCAGAGTACACATTCAGCCCAGTTTTCTTCATCCCACCTAGTGAGTAAGCTTAGAGCCTGAAGCAGTGCCTCATTCACAAACTCAACCAGCACAGCCCTTCCAAAATCATCTCACCTCCCTAGGACGTCTGCTTGGGCTTCTGCAGTAGTGATGCTAGCTAGTGTCCAACTGTGACACCTTTAATTATTCCACTCGGCCCCAAAGCACAGCTTGGCCAGAGACCAGTTTTCAATTTGAGACAAGATCCCCTTCAGTAGCAACCACCGTTTCAGCCTCTGCTATTCCTCTGCCTGCTTCTTTGGTCTCCAGGTTCCCTTCCCCTGACACCCACCTCCACGGAAAGGACTTCTCTTAGGGAGCCTTCCACAGCCACACTCACAACAGAGACCACAAGCGGCCCAGTCACTGCCCATTCTACAGCTTCCACCAATATAAAACCCACAAGGGGGTATGACAGTGACAGGAGGCTGGGGACAGCCCATTTTGCCACCTCTCCTTCTGAGACATCTGCAGATTTTATCTCAACGTCTCCATCTCAGTCCACGGGTGCTTCTAGCTCAAGCACTCCAAGGACAAGCCAATAATTATTTGGCACATTTTTTGATGTCCTCTGTCATTTGACCCCTTTAGGGGTTACAGTTTCTGGGGATGGAACCAGCTCACCTCTGACTCCACAAACAATTGCAGCTGGCTCATCTCCTGAGCTTGGCTCTGCTAGAAGCAACTGGCTCAGCGTTTTGTCCTCCTATCTTTCTGTTCTGGCTTCGAAGTCACGGTGACCACCACATTTTCAACCAAGAGAGTCACTACCAGCATGTTAAAGGGCAAAGCTGCAACCAGTAAATGGAACATGCTTATCTTATCACCAAGTGACGCCCAGCAAGTGCTGACACAGGGAAACATACCTCAGCTCCCCCGGGTGCTCCAGCTCCTGCTGCATCAGTGGAGTTGTCAGAAGGGAGACTCTCTACCCACCAGCACCTACCCTGAATCAACAAACACATCCAGCTTCAGCCTCAGAGCACACACCAGCTCAGAGGATGCCAGCACCACCAGCCTCACCATGGCTGCAGTAGTGGCTCATACACACCCCTCAGTGGAGACCACTGCTTCTGTATCAGTAGCAAAAATGGAGATTAATGAAGTTTCTTACTCTTCTGGGTCCCCACCTGAGATTCCAGTTTCTAGAGCCCATTACCCAGGGGTACCTGGGTCTCTGTCACATACATCACCACTGCAGAGCTCAGGGTTACAGGTTCAGCTCAGGTCTCTACATTCTGCCCCGTAAAGGAGCTCAGAATCACAGACAGCTCTCCAGACACGGAATCCACCAGCCTAGCTACTCACTTTGGGAGTCCTAAAGTCCCAAGGATGCCTGATCCCACTAGCTCAGCCACGACAGACCGGACCAGCACAGACACAGATGAATGCTGCGCTCAATCCCATGACACAGATACGGCAGAAAAATCCCTCGGATTTGGGACAATGTTCCAAAGCCAGTCTCTGTTGTGTCCTTCCTCTCCCCTTTCTGGTTCCACATACCTAATAGGATCATTCTACTGTCTAAATGCAATTAGTGACACTTTCAGCATCCTTAGACCCAAATTCAGTTCCTTCCAGCCAGAGCCCACCTTTCCCCTTCCCAGATACAAAGTCTGCATGATAATAGCTGTAAAAGAATGATAAAGAAAAATGACAAAATGAGTAATGAAGAAATATTATTTTTAATGTTAACTGATCTGATATAATAATTCCATGATAATATTCTGATTTTACTTATGTCAAGTCCAAAATATGGGAGGGAAAAATGAGCCAATGGTGAATCCACACATTATAAGTGATGGAGACAGAATTATCACCAAATGTTTTTGCTCGAGACCAATAAATTCAGTAGTCCCACCATCCACAAGAAGCTCTTCAATGATGATGACCTAGGTCTTCTGGTGGGTTTGATTTCTTGCCAACAAGAGAATGATCCCTTCCAGTGTGGCTTCTCAGAGACGGAGGAGAACATTGCCGAGCCAGCATCTCGTGAGAGCATTTCTTGTGGGTGTACATCTTGAGGGAATGCGAGTCTGACACTGCCATCTTCTCCTCCTTCAGAGTCTGAGGCGTCTGCGGCAGCCACCACCATGGATCTGAGTGAGGGGGCACGTGGTGGCACCACGTGGCCAACGGGTGACTCCACATCTCTGGAGACTGGCATCAGTTCGGGTACGTATGGTCGTCCTCTGTGTACACAACGCTTGAGTCTTTTCTCCTGGTTGCTGGAGTGAAATGATTGATTACCTAAGTCCCAGGTTCTGGTAGATGATCACAATTTTTTGCTGTTGTACTCAGCGGCTGTTGATAATAGTTCTTAGGGAGATCTGTAATTGACTTCTGATGTGGATTGCTTCTATTTGGTAATTGATCTGTTCAAGAGCCAATGGGCTTATGTGTTTATGCCTTAGGAAGAGGTACAGTGACTCTACCAACCAGCTGACCAACTGTGAAAGGACTTCCTAAATCAGACACTGTCACTAAGGTCAGGGATTGCCGTGAGCAGGGAGACGTAAACCTGAGATGTCGTACGCTTATTCTACGGGACAATTCATTGCCAGGACTGTTACAAAATACATTGAAAGAATTATTGTCTGTGGTTAAAGCTTTCAATACGTGGCCCATAGTTGAGAGGAGGTGTCCACGTAAAGTGCGTAGGTGCCTGAGTACAGCTGTCCTGAGTCCTGAAAGCAGTAATCTGACACGTGCTTCTGTGCTAGAAGGTGGAAGGGTTCTGTCATTTTCTGATGAGAGTGGTGAACGAATATGAAAACATACAGGAAGTAAGATGCCTGGAGCTGCCTCTTCTCCTAACCTGTTAAAGCTAAGCCACAGAGCTGCCTTTCAGTTAGACACACAGTTTTGAGGTCTAGGGGAGAAAGGCAGCTACAATGGAGCAGAAGAAGGAAGAGTTTGCCCCTGTTCTGGGTAGAATATTTACCTTCCTGAGACATGAGATGTGATACATAGGTCTGCCTGGAGGTCACACTGAAATAGCAACTTTGGCCAGTGAAAGCCAGGCTCACAGCCAGCATTAGGCACAGAGGTAGAGAATAGGATTCGTGCCATTTAGAGGAGCAGACTGTGGGCAGAGGGGGTGTCCAACTGATTTGTCAAAAGAGAGAGAAGGGAGAGTCAAAACCAGAAGAACCCCTTTTCCACCTCCTTGCAAGCTTCCTAACTGAAGAGCTGTTGTAGTTATAAACCCGCCCATCAGAAGCCCGTGGACACCTGCAGGTACCATCAGTCCAAGCTGCAAGGAGCCCAGGTAGACAGGGGGTAACCTCACTGCTGAGGGGACCTTGAACGGGACTTTGAACAGTTTGGTAGTTTACGCACCCAGGAGCCGGGAAGAGGAGGCAGGGAGGGCTAGGAGCGAAAAAGTACTGAGTCAGAATGGGGAAAATGTCCTAACGTGTTCCTCTCCTCCTCCTGACAAGGAGAACTCAGCAGAAGGTCTGAAAAAGGCGCCCAGACAGAGAGACCTAGGAATGAAGGCTCCTGGTCCAGGTGCAGGAGTGCAGATATGCATAAGAGGAGCCAAGTCCTTGACTGCAGCTGCCTTGAGTGACTGGAGTGTATTGGCTGCCCACCCAGTCTGGCGTGGGGAGGACCGGTTTCCTCTTCGAAGCTAATATCCTTGAGATAACCGCCTCTGGTTGGGTCTGAAAAAATCACACACTGGTTTTTAACTGGGAGCCAGACCCCTCAAAAACTCAAAAACTGCAACAATCCTGCTGTATTAAACTCATTTTACGTAGGTATTTTAAAATGAGTAAAGGTATAGTGATGTAAGACTTCACTGTTTCTAAGGAGACAGAGCATTTGAAAAAATTTACATGCTTGAGACCAATCAGATCCGCAGTCCCCTCAATTAACAAAAGCTTTCCATCCCTTATGACCGTCTTGAGGGCTTGATTTAATGTAAAAAAAAGACAGTTATTCTTTTTATTATTTTTTTGTTTGGGGGGAGGAGGTAATTAGGTTTTTTAATTAATTAATTTTTAATTGATTGAACCCGGGACCTCACGCCTGCTAAGTACGCACTCTGCCACTGAGCTCTACCCTCCCCTTCCCTGAAGATACTTACTCTTTAAATGTCTTCTCAGAGACAAGTGAGGGCCTGCTAAGCTAATGTCTAGTGAAAATGTTCCTCATAGGTCCACATTCTTTTGAATGCAAAAGTAAAGCCTCTGTCTTCTGCTTCAGGGCCTGTAGAGTCTGTGGCCACCACCACCAGGGAGCTGAGTCAAGGAGAACCCGGAGGTACCACTTGGCCAACCAGTAACCCCACATCTCTTATGATGGCTATCAGTCTGGGTACGTAAGAGCATCATCTGTTTCCTTCACGGCTGTCTCACATGGGTCCTTTTCCCTCATCCCTAAGACCAAAAGTTGGATTGTTTAAGGAAGTCAAATCACTAGATTTGAAATAGGTTTCTTTGACTTCTTGCCACTCTGAGGATGTTGGTAATTTTTTCCTAGAGACTGTATTCACAGAACACTTTCACTGCTTCACCTTAGCAATGTGTATGATTTACTAACGAATTCCAATTGCCAAATGATTCAGCGGAAGAAAATGCCACAGGGTCAGTTCTCTCCACGCTTCCTCTTGCCCCAGGATGAAGGATCTTTCTAAATCAGAGGTCATCACTGGAATCTTGTGTTGACAGGGAGGGCACAGACAGACTGGAGGGGACATGGGTTTCTTTTGTCACAGGAGAAGAAGGGGTCGTGGTCCTTGGCTAAGCCAAGTTGGTGAGAATGATGTGAAAAGCTGGTCCCCGGGCAGAGTGCCCCTGGAAGGTCAGGCTTTCCTCAGCCCTGTGGCAGTTAGATGTCCTTGTCCTCAAGGACGGGGAGAGGGTTCAGAGAGGGAGATGAATTTGAAAGTTGATGAAGGTAAAGAATAAGATTTCTCTCATCCTTCTGTTCTCTTGCTTCTGAAATAGAACTCCATCCGTGGCGTTGCAGCGAACTAAGAGTTCAGTGATCAGGAGGAGGCTGGAAGTTATAAGCTGAAACTGGTTGAGCAAGGGCAGGCTTTAAAGAGAAGAGTAAAAATAGGGCAAAGAAAGCCTGTTGCCTGGGGAGAGTGCAGGTTTATCACGGCCTCCCATATACAAAGAGCCCTTTCATGTAGGGGGTGCAGCTGACCGAGTTGCAGGGAACAGTTTCCCCTGAGCAAACAAGACGGGCCAAGGCTCTCACCCTACTGTATCTTTGGGGATGGTCACTATGCCCCCGGGTGTCCAGAGTCTTGAAGCATGGTATGGAAGGGTTAACACTGTCTTCTCTGGAGAAGAAGGAAATAAGTTTGAACTGAAATCCTAGGAAGCAACACATGTGATACTGTTAACCAGAAGGACACCCCTTCTCTACCATTTGCGTATCTCCTACCGACTTGCTTTCTAATCACAGGCATGCCCACAAGAAGCCCAGAAATGGCTACAGCCTTCCAAATTGTGAGCTCCAAGGAGCCCGGCACCAGCCCAGAGGCCAGGCATGCTCTGGGAAATTCCTGGGAGACTTCAACAGCAACTGTCCCCACGGAGACCACCGTGGAAGCAGTCAGCCTTCAGGCCACAGCCACAGGGAGGGGCAGCATCAGCCTCCCTCGCCTGCCCACGGGATCCACGGCACCAGCCACGTCACCAACAAAAGGGACAGCAACTACAGGAAGGGTCTCCCTCCCCCCCTCTAAGGCTTGGACCAGCCCCCTTTTGGGGACTCCAGAAGGGACCCTAGAGTCAGCCCCTAAAGGGACTGGTCCACAAAGCAGCCCCACTCCGATCCCAAAGCCAACTGGAGTGAATTTCTCCACGTGGTTCGGCTCCCCTGCAGGGACCACAGTGGACACACACGTCTCCCTGAACACATCTTCCCCTGGTCTTGAAAACTCTGTGGCCATCCCAGACTCCGTGACAATCCAGAAGGTAACCATGAGCTCAGAGACAGATAAGTCTGAATTGATTGCCAAGACAAACATCAGTACCACAGCCATTCCTCCCACTGTCCTGAGTGAAAAGACAGTGACAGGTGAACAGGCAAGTATATCTGTCGGTGAGGCTTATTCACCTGCTAGCCCATGGTCAGAGCAGACAACTGAGAGTGACCTGACTATTGGCAAATCTCCTGAGGCCACAGACATATTGGATACAACCTCCATAGAACAAACCACATTAGCATCTCTGACCTCTGAAAGTGAAGCCACTGCGAGCCTCACCAGTGTTTCAGGAGGAAAAATGAGCTCTTCACCAACCATCACATTCCCTTCAGTGGGGCCTAAGACGCCGGTGGCTGTTGCAAGTGTAGTGACTAGTGATGTTGCCTCTACTCTTGGGCTCCTATCACGGACCTCATCTCCTGCAGGAGGGAGCATCATGGATGTAACCACAGCCCCCACTCCAGGTGTCACCACCACCATCACCACCATGGAAACCAACTCAGTCCTGACGACCATGCCCAATGCTAAGGGGAGTGCAAGTACCATGGACAGCGCCCTGGCCACAGTGACCAGCGCATCTGCCCTGGAGCACCCTCACACCTGGTCATCCACAGCCACTCCTGCCCCAGCATCAGGCGCCTGGACGACCACAGACATGGCTTCAATCTTGGAAGTGACAGGTTCTCCTAAAACAATTTCTGCAGTGGGCACAACTTCATCCTTAGCATCAAGCACTGAATCAGGTTCTGTGTCTACCTTCCATGGCCTTGTGACTGTTGGAGCCAGCCTAGCCAGCACATCCTCCTATGCGTCTGCTGAAGAGACAGAGGCCAGCACGAGTGTAAGAGCACTGAGTCCTTTGGACACAACTTCATCTCTGCCCATTCCAACATCTGGTATCGAGCGGACGAGCACCTCAGTTCCTGACATTTTAAGCACAAGTTGGACTCCCAGTAGAAGAGAAACAGAAGCCCTGCATGTTTCAGTGGCTCCTACTGACAATCCAAACACAAAGACTCTCCCAAAGGTCCTCCCACCCACCCCTCTGCCTGGTTCTCTGTCCACTCTTGACCACGCCACTGGGAATTCTGTGTCACCACTCATAACCGCTACCTCAGCTCCTCAGGGGGTCACAACTCCTCCAGAGCTCCCTTTGGAAAAGACAGTCAGCCTGCCTACCTCACCGCTGCCATCCCCTGTAGGGGACATTACAAATGGGCTCACACCTGCTACAATGGTAACTCACTCTAAAGTCTCTTTATCAGGGAGGCTAGATCCTGCCAGCACAGAAGCAGTGCAGAGCTCTACCCAGCTTCCCACCACAGCTGCTGCAGGTCCAGGGCTTGTGTCT